TCCTTCCCTACCTCCATCCTTCCTCCCTCCCTCCCTTCCTTCCCCCTTCCCTTCTTCCCTCCCTCCCTCCCTCCCTCCCTCTTTCTTTCCTCCCTCCCTCCCTCCTTTCTTTCCTTCCTTCCTTCCTTCCTCCCTCCCTCCCTCCCTCCCTCCCTTCCTTCCTTCCTTCCTTCCTTCCTCCCTCTCTCCCTTCCTCCCTCCCTCCCTCCCTCCCTCCCTTCCTTCCTTCCTTCCTTCCTTCCTTCCTGTCTTTGGTCTGGGGACAGAATCCAGTGTCTAGTGCTAGGTAAGCCCTAAGGACATTGTCTTTGTTTGTTAGGGCTGCTATATCTTGGACTGAGTGAGTTATAAACAACAGACATTTATTTCTCTCATATCAGGAAGTTGGAAATCTAAGACCAAGGTGTCAGCATGGCAGGGTTGTGGTGAGCCACCTGGTTGAAGTCGCTTATTTTGACAAGATAATAATTGGGGGAGTCTGGATGAGAGGGAACTTCTCTAAATGAAATTTGTATACAGAAGAGTAAAACAAGCTTCTAAATTGTCACTAATTATTTCAGGAATGAGCTTGATAAGGTTAATTTCCATGGGTAAGGCTCATTTACATGATGGGATTCATGATAATCGACTTTAGCCAAATGCTAAGGTTCTAGGACGTTGGTTATAAATTCAAGAACAGAATTCAGGGTTCTTGGTGTCCTAAGCTCCTGGGTACAGTGTTATTATGTGACAAGACACAACTCACCTTTTTGCATTGGTTACTGTGAACAAGTGAGGCAAACATATATCAGCGTGCATTTACAGTGCAGAAACACTTTGGTTCGGACCTCACCCAAGATCCATTATTTCATGAGAGCTGCCTTCCCTTTTGGTCTATCATGAATCCTCATTCTCTAAGTTCTTTCACACAGTGCAGTTTCACGTTTAGATATGATCTCCAGGTATCTTTTTGCTCTGTTTTAACTAGATCACTGCCTCTCAGAGCACAGAGTAGGTGCTCTTAACAATGAGCATTGTCTCAGAGAGAGGAGATGCAGTCAAAATGCTTGTTAGTGTAAGCACAGAGGTGCTATTCTGAATATGAGAAAAGGCGAGACTCCTATAAATTATTATAGAAACACAGACATGTTTGTAACTGGTGTTCCTCACTAGGGCTATATATTTGAGCCCCCTAGTCTTAGTGTGTGATATAAAATATTATTTTGCTTCTACTGAAATATCCTCTTGCAAACAGAGGTCCCACAGGACAGGGAGTGTGACTGGAAGTGGGTAGACCAGTTGCCAGGTTAGCTTGATTTACTTTTCAGTCATAAACTCAGGTCTCCAGGGAAAGAACTGGTCAATTTCACTTTATTTTTTGGCTTAGATCAGAAGATTGATCCTGGCAGAGAGATGTTATGTGGGACTAGGAGGTCTCTTGGAATTTCTAAACTTTCTCTGGGCCTGGGGAGTAGTCAAGAGAAGGAAATGCATCATTTGAATGCTGGCCATGGCTATGATAGGTCCTGTGTGCCAACCAGAGGGAAAGAAAATACTTGCTTGAGCAAATGAACTGGAAAGTAGTTGCTCATATTTTAAACTAAGCTACAGGGTTGAAGTCCAAAGTAATATAGAGTTTTGGACCAATGACCACTTGGAAATACGTTTTCTGGCTGGAAAGCAGCATCTGGTGTCAGGGCGGGAGAGGGTGATTCGAATGCTTTTTCCCTACGGGTTTTGTGCTGCCAAATACGAAGGGGCCATCTGAGCATATTTGCTTACTCCAACAGATTTCTCAGTAATTCTAACACCAGAAAGAAAATTGACGGGCTTGATGGATGCTGGTGGCCAGGTGCTAGAGTTGAGAAAAACTTTCCCAGCTACTGCTGAGCCCAGTGTAGCATTTGACATCTTGTTGGACCCCTGGTAGCCGCTCTAAGGGCTGTTGGTGGCACACAACTGGACAAATGTCACATATCTAGGTGCAACAATTCCCAGGATGCCAGATCACAAGGATTGTTTCCAGGAAGACATGTTTTTATCTTCTTCCCTGGAAGCTTAGCCAAACTTGCACACAAGTCTCACCTGTGTAGGCTGCTGGAGAAATTGCCAATGAACACTCAGGCAGGGACTGGAGGTGGCAGCTCTCTTATGGCAGAAGCAGATGCAGACTCCGAAAAACTGACCTCAATCTGGGCCCTGTCAGCTAATGAACAAGTGAAGGCCAGGTAAGCTGCAGCCTCAAGGATTGCCTATTTGCCTGCCTGTGATCAGGGACATAGGAAACATTTTTGCAAGATTGTTCTGAGGGGAAATGAATCTGGGCATTGTGCTTTCCTCTTCAAATGCAAAGGTTGGTATTTATTTGTGTCACTTGTTTGAATTGTTATATAGGTGATGTTATATAGGTGATGTATATAGTGGGTTACAATCACATGTCAGGTAATGAGTACAGTACATTTCTTTTTGGACAATTTCACTCTTTCTTCACTCACTCTTAGTATATCCCTCCTGTCCTCACCCACAAGTTGTATAGTTCATTTTCAATATAGTGTCTAGTGAGTACCACTGTTGTATTTGTTCACCCTGGAGGATGGTATTTATAACTTAACCCCTCTAAGGGTTTTACCTACTCTTATGTGTTTTAATCCTGGCAACAATTTATGGCACGCATGCTATCTTTTCTCCCATTTTACAGAGGGAGAAAACTGGACCCCGGGCAAGGGAAATCTTGTTTCAGGTTATACCACTAGGTGGCAGACCCACGATTTAGTAGGCTGCGGAGTGGCTCCAGAGGCCGCGGGATCAGGGCCTCAGTCCACAGTAGGGGAAGACTAGTTCTGTGACAGGTGTTCTTCAGTTTTGATTGGCGATCCAAAAGGACTTTGCTCTTGTTCCAGCACCCAGGGCCCAGTCTGGGCCTCTTTTGTGTTGGGGGAGGGTTCTGAGGAGTGGGGGCAAGGCAAAGCCCCTGGCAAAAGTGGCTGCACCGTGTGGCCGGCAAAGCCGGTGTGTGTGTGTGGGGGGGGGGGGTGTTCGTATAATCGGGGAGAAAACACCCCTCGAGAGCGGAGCTCATCTTTGTCAGGAGCTCCGAGGACAGACGCGGAGCTAAACTTCGGGTTTACAATCTGGTGGGAGGAAAGAGCCCCTCCCGGTGAAGAACATGGGAGTAAAGCAAGGGCTGTGTCCCACAAGGGCCGGCCATCACGGACCTCTGCGGGCGACGGCACTGGACCACCTCGCGCTGGGGGGGGGGGGCTGCGTGTGGCAGCTGCGACCGTTCCCAGGCCGGCCCGGGACCACCCTGCGCAGGCCGCCCCCTCCCAGCGCGGCCGGGCCCAGGGAGATCTATCCCCCCTCCTCTCCTGCCCCCTCCTCTCCTGCCCCCTCCTCCCCTCCCCCCTCCTCCCCTCCCCCCCCTCCTCCCCTCCCCCTCCTCCCCTCCCCCCTCCTCCCCTCCCCCCTCCTCTCCTCCCCCCTCCTCCCCTCCCCCCTCCTCCCCTGCCCCCCTCCTCCCCTGCCCCCTCCTCCCCTGCCCCCCTCCTCCCCTCCTCCCCTCCCCCCTCCTCTCCTCCCCCCTCCTCTCCTCCCCCCTCCTCCCCTCCCCCCTCCTCTCCTCCCCCCCTCCTCTCCTCCCCCCTCCTCCCCTTCCCCCTCCTCCCCTCCCCCCTCCTCTCCTCCCCCCTCCTCTCTCTCCATCCTCTCTTCTTTCTCCCGGTCCCCTCCCTTCCTCTCTTTTCCCCTTCCTCTCTTTCTCTCTCCTCTCATGTCTTCTCTCTCTCCCCCTCCCTCTCCCTCCCCCTCTCTTTTCTCTCCTCTCTCTTGTCTTCTCTCTTCTCTCCCTCTCTGTACTCTCTCCTCTCTCTCCCTATCCTCTCTTCTGTCTCCCAGTCCCTCTCTTCCTCTCTTCTCCCTTCCTCTCTTTTGCTCTCTGCTCTTCTCTCCTCTCCCCTCCTCTTCTCCTCTTCCTCCCCTCCTCTCCTCTCTTCTGTCTCTCTCCCCCTCCCTCTTCCCCTTCTCTCCCCCTCCTCTCCTTGGACGGTTCACGGGGGGGGGGGTGTCTCTGCACCCACAGAGGGCCCCTCCTCACCCAAGCCTGTCTTTCTTTCTGGGCCCCGCCCCCCGCCCCCTTCCGCCCCCTCCCCGTCTCCCCTGGGCCGCCCGGAGGCTGGCTGCCCCGCGGTCTCCAGCTCGGAGCGGGGGTCGGGGTGCCGGGGCCGCTCGGGGTCCCGCGTGCAGCCCCGGTGGCCGCTGGGTGGGCGGGCCGCTGTGGGGCTCGGTGTCACCCCCAGGGAGCTCCCTGGGGAACACTCGTCCCTCCAGCGCCCTGGCAGCCACCTGCGCCCCGGCGCTGTCATCCGAAAAAAGGGGCTTTCTGGAGGATTTTCCTTCCCCGGGCGGCTGTGACAACTGCACTTGAGTTTCAAATCAGCAACAACGGCCACCACAGCCCGAACCCGGCATGCTGTCGGCCAGGTGGCCATTCTGCCGTGTGTGAGGCCGTCGGGGCTGCCTGCGGCTTCCGCGGGGGCCCGGGAGCCAAGAGCAAGTTACTTTTTACCCGAGTGCCTCCGGGAGCCCGCTCGGAGCCGGGCGGACGAGCGTCGCTCCCCGGCGGGGGCGCGGAGCGCCAGACGCCCCTCTTGCGCTTCTCCCATTGGCTCTCACCTGCCAGAGGCGCGGCTGCGATGGGCCTCTCGGCCCGTCAATCAGGCCTTCCGAGCCCCGCCCCACCCCTCCCGGGGCTTTATAACGGGAATTCCCATGGCCCAGGCTCCCGCATCCAACCTGCTGCCGCCGCGGCCGGGCCGACGCGGGCGCCGCGCTCCGAGCACTCGCCCGCGCTCCGGTTCCGGCTTCGGCCTCCGCGGTGGATGACCGTGTCCTTCGGACGCAAAGCCTCTACCAGCCACAACTCGCTGCCCACTCCTCGCCTTCGCGTGGGGTCCCCGAGTGAAGGAAGGCAGAGGCCCGCGTGCGCCCGGCCCCACCCCGCCTGCGACCCCCCGCCCCGCCGCCCCGCCGCCCCGCTGCCCAGCCCGACCCGGCCCGGCCCGGCTGGCACCATGCTGCCCGCGCGCTGCGTCCCGTTGCTCACGCCCCACTTGCTACTCGCGTTGGTGCAGCTGTCCCCGGCGGGTGGCCATCGCACGACGGGTCCCAGGGTAAGTGCGTCCCCAGCCGCGCGCCCACCTGCGCGGAGGGGGGCGAGGTTGCTGCTCCCGGGTGGGGAGGGAGGAGGGCAGAGGGAGGTGTCAGACTTTGCCCCCCTCCCCACACGATCCAGTGTCCGGAGGGGTTCTTGGAGAAGGTGCTAAAATTCCAGTGCCTTCCCTCTCTTGCACCCCCCAAAACTGTCACCGGTGAGCGTTCTTCCCACACCCCTCCTCCGAGGGCATTTTGCTCCCGAATCTCCCTCCAAGGCGCCTCCGGTGCCCGGGGGAACCTTGCCCCGGGCTCAAGCAGGGCGCCCCTGCGGTCTCTCTGCACCCGGCCCCCGTGAGCTGGCGTTCTTGGCAGGCGGCGGGAGAGGGGGTGATGGGGAGGGGGAGGGGGAGGCCTGCCTGGAGAGTTTTAGGTTACCCGCGAGACACACAAGGACCTTGTGTTGTTGTTGTTGAAAAAAAAAATAAAAAGCGATCGCTGCTCATAAAACTCATAGCAGATAATTTTAATGCTCCCTCCCGCTAGCGTGGCTCCCGGAGGAGGGGTGGCGGTGGAGCGGCGGGGAAGAGCTGCGCGGGGTCTTCTTCTTCCCCTGGGTTGGTTGCTGGGAAAGTTGAGTGACGACTTGTTGAACCTTGGTCTGATTGGAGTTTCTGAACGACCTCAAACGTGCCAATTCTGTGCACAGGACAGGCTGTCCAGGGCATTGTAAAATCTCCTGGAACCCACTGTATTGCGTTCATTTCTGGTCTAGATTATTGCTTTCCCCACCCCCTCCAATTGGTCTAATAAAGAATTTCACTGCTTAAAAAAATGTACTGTTAAATCACGCAGTGGTTCGCTTGGCTAAACTTAAGTCAGGCATTCTCTGGTCAAACTTCAGTTTAGGTGCAGGCAAGGGTTATTAGGGAGAAGCTATTTGTCCCCAACAGGTAGCATCGAGAGTCTTCTTGAAGGTAGCTAGAATCTCTATGAAAATAGTTAGCTCCTCAACCAACTTTCTTTCCTGGATGTTCTCCACCCCCATTCCCTGGATGGTTAGCATCATTACCACCTGTTCAGATTGTAGTTTCTTTCTCCCCCTCCCTTTTCTTTTTCTATAGCTTTTGCTATATGAGAATCATCTTTATCACTATCCTGGGTGGAGGAAAAGCTTTGCAAGGCCTGATGAGCTGAATTGGTTACATCCCAGTCCAGCAATCACTGAGAGATCAGATTTGTAGCCACTTAGGAAAGAAAAGTGTTTGTCCTCAGTGTTGGGCCGGCCCTTGCTTTTATGACCAGATGTGCAACAGCAGCAGTTAAAGTGCAGCAGATTAGATCCAGGGCGTGTCATAAATCCTCGACAGCAGGCATTCCCAAAGCCAGGGCAAGTTGGGGCTCTGGGAGTGACTTTTATGGATGCAGTTGAGGATGCCTTTTAAATAAAGCTGCTTGGTTCGATATTAGGACTTGAAGCTCTTAAACTCTGAGGTCAGGCAAACGAGTCATGGTGTTCTCTCCAATAATTAGGAACAGTCAAGACAGAGATGCAGACCAGAGCACCCCGACTGCAATCTGGATACCCGCCCACAGGAGGGTCGAAAGGAGAGAGGCCCTCCGACAAATGGTGGGGGGCTCGTTTGCTGTGGGCCATGTCTAATGTCTCAAGCCATATGGCTCTGCTTCCCAGTCCCTTGAAACCAAAGAAAGCCTAGGCTGAAAGCTGGGGACTTTAAGGGAAACAGAGTTTTGTTAGGTTTCTCTTCTTCTCGCTCTGAATGAGAGAGAGAGAGAGAGAGAGAGAGAGAGAGAGAGAGAGAGAGAGAGAGAGAGAGAGAGAGAAACAGACAGACAGACAGACAGACAGTGGACAGAGACAGAGGAACAGAGAGAGAAAAAGAGAGAGGGAGAAAGAGAAACACTCAGAAAGAGGCTCATTATGTAATCCAGGTTATCTAGCCTTTTGATCCTGTCTTAGCCTCCCAGGTGCCACAGTTACAGGTGAACATTACCTGGCTGCTTCCAACTTATTTAGTTTACTAATTTGTTAGATGCAGTAGAGCAGAGGCAAAAGCACTAAATAGGCTTGTTATGATCCCAACTACTTCTCTTTCTCCCTCTTGCTCTTTTCTTGTTCTCTTTCTTCGACACACACATACTTATATACATGCACACGTGTGCATGTATTTAGAGAATACTAAGGGGAAGCTGCTGTCACAAGCACTTTTAGAGGCAATCATAAGAACTACTGTTGATGAGTGTTTGGGCATTTTACACAATCTCTTATGCTTACAAGAACAAAAATGAGAAAGCAAGTCGTTTTAGTGCCATTTGACAGATAGGGAAGTGACTTGGGCTCACAGCATTGCTTGCATCACTCCCAGTGCATATGTGCCTCCGTGAGTGGCTACCAGTCTGCATGGGTATCAAGGTTGTGTGTTTTCTACACTGCTCAACAGCTACAGGGAGTGTTTATTCAACAAGGGACACTGTTGGTTCTTGTTGAAGACACAGATGGCTCAATGAGGAAATTCTGAACCCGGATGCACCAGGAGGGTCCGCAGAGAAAGTGATAAGAACATCCTTTGGTGCCTGTTTTGATAAAGGATGATGTTGAAATTCCCATCTATCATCTCAAAAGACTCCAGCTTCCTTCTATGACTTTTTTGGTGGTCCAAGAAGTTGTGGCTCCAGTTGCAAGCAGTGAAGTCATAGGAAGAATAGAAACATCTGGTTGGTGCGGAATTCCATTTGGGTACCCCTAGATCTCTTCTGCTAATCTGAGCGACAGAGGCTTAAGGATTGGCATCTTTTCCCAGCTGGCTTTCTAGGAAATCGAGAACATGCCCTTTTGGTTTAACTTTATCTGCTTCACTAATTGAGCTCCCAGGAGGCCTAGTAGACTCCAATCCTTGCTCCCTTATTTGCTTCCTGCCTTCCTTCATAAAATTCTTGACATTTGTTTGACTCTGGAAGCCAGCAGCTATCAAGTATCAGATGGGAGGCTGTTATGTAGGAAGCACCTGATTTTGGCGGGGGTGGGGAGGGTCTCTCAACAATCACTTGCCTCTATCTAGGATGCTGGTCAGGATTCTTATAATTACTGAACAGGCAGCCATTTCTTTAATCCTGCACCATTTACTGAAAATTGTTCCAGGAGGAGGGGGTGGGGGAGGGGCTCTACTAGGCTGATAGAGTCTGGCTGATGGTCAGGCCAAGTCAACTGCCTGTCAATATTTAGCCCTCTATCTGCCCTTGAAGATGGGTGGGGGGGGTGAGGAATGAAATAATCTTGTCCAACCATGTATCCCCAGAGCTCAGCACAGGACCAGGCACTTGGTAGATACTGACTTTGCCAGTATTTGTGGAGTGTAAAAAGCAATGCAGTGAATGCCTGTTGGACAGTGATCCTCAGGCTCCACTTTTTCAATTCTTTAGCCTAACTGAGGCAGGTAGTGGATTTAGGCAGTCTAAGAAATTGGAGAAAGCAGAAAAGTCAAGGGGTCTGAGTCAGAAATTGACTTTTTTCATTTTGTTTCAGGTCCACTCTTCTTTCTTCTCCAGCCTTCAAACCCCACTCCAACATAAGACTCTAAAACCTTTTCTGTAGTTCTTGATTTGGTTAGAATCAAATTACCTTGAATGATTTCTGCATTTGGTCCTTTCTCTTTGACTTTCTAATTAACTTTTTTTTTCCTGATTATATTCTCAGGGTTAGCTTGTTGTTCAGATAATGTCTCTTGCTTTTTTATGGGCTAGCCTCAGAACATGATCCTCCTACCTTTGCCTCCCCAGTAGCTGGGATTACAGGAATGAGCCACCATGCCCAACGAACCCTTGGTCTTCTTGAGTTCTAACTTCTACCAGCACTTCTAATGTGAGCATCTTAATACTGAGCTGTTGTCTTCAAATTCTCCACACCTATTCTTCCCTCTTTGGTACCTCATACATGCTTCTGTCTTGGAAACCAGCTAATTGACAAGCTCCTTGTGGAAAGAGATCTTACTCATCAGTGGGCTTGTCACATTATAAAAGCATTCTGCTCACATGCATTGCAATGAATTGGACTGTCACCTGGAGCACCTACTCTTGCTTAAATATGGTTTTTGTTTCTTAAAAATGGAGATTTCTATTTTAAGTTTTTGTTCTCTTTAAGTTTTTGTTCTCTTTAGTGGCTCATGCCTTTAATCGTAATTACACAGGAGACTGAGATCTGAGGACCAGGTTTGAAGCCAGCCTTAATAGAAAAGTCCAAGAGACACAATCTTCTATTAATCAGCAAAGATGCTGGACTGGAGGTGTGGCTCAAGTGATAGAGCTCCAGTCATGAGCAAAAAAGTCAATAAAAAATGTGAGGCCTGAGTTCAACCTTTGGTACCAACACACACACACACACACACACACACACACACACACACACACACACACACACACACACACACACACATGGGAGTTTGTGGCAATTATGAAAAGCTTGAAGAAGAGGCATTGAGCAATTCCATTGTGTACTAGAAAGCTGGCTTTAGCCATTCCATTTTCCCTTTTTGTACCATGTATTTACCAAGTGTGAAGCAGCTTCTAGACTATTTCTATTGCATCAGCCTACCCCAGAATCTGGACCAGAGTGTGTCTTTGTTTTGCCTACATGCTGTTCCTACAATATGTGTGCTCAAGAGGAACCTTTTTTTCATATACAGAGGGCGTTTTATCTCAGTTGCTACTCAGATGGTAAGCCAAGAACCTAATTCAAATATTTTGGTAGAGCTGATATGTGAAACTTAAAATAACAGAATTGAGGAGGCTGGGAAGAGGAAACAATTTCCATAGAATCTCTAAGAAATGCCATCACAATGGCAGAGACATCAGTATCATTTCATCATGTCCTGAAGTTGAAGTTCTTTTTTCCTTTTTGTGCTGGACCAGAGCTTGAACTCAGGGCCTTATATATATTTTTTTGGCTTTCCTTCCACATGGTTGTTGCTTTACCTCCTGGCATTGACCTTCAGTCTGGCTCTTT